TGTCAGGGTGCCTTGTGCTCGTTCTGTGTTGTTCGCTCTGGGTCTCCTCGGGCCCTCGTGCCTTGCTCCGAGGGCTCCCGGGAGCGGCTCTGAGAGCCCTGCGCCCCATCCCCTCCCTGATTGCAGGACACCAGTTATGAGTTATTCTTCGAGTAGGGGATCGACAACAGAGTTTATGTGCCCCAGGGTTGATTCTCATTTCGGATCCATGAAAAGAGCGTAGAGTGTTCGTAGATCTACGGGAAATTCTATGCATCTCTCGAGGATTCGACGAGAGCATCAATTTGGGGTAAATCAATTATGAAAGAGAGCGTTCTGTGGTCGCTTGGAGCGGGGGGGGTTGGAACCGGATCCCCCCCCCCTTTCCTTCCCCTCTCCTCGGGCCAGCGGCTGGCGACGGCGGCGGGGACGACGATTTCCATTTTTGGGCCAGCGCCGGCCGGCGCCTGCGGCGGCGGGCGGCGGTCAGAAAGCCCCGAGAAAGCTCCAAGAGGTTGCCATGAGGGCCCCAAGACTGCCCCAACGAGGCCCCGAGAGGGACCTAGAGGGGCCGAGACCCCCAACATGCCTCTGAGGGCTCACAGGCGGCCTCCGCGAGGCCCAAATCCGGGCCAGGAGAGCCCCGAGGGGACTCCCGAGAGGTTCTGAAGACGCAACATTGGATGAGTTGCCGTCAGTTTTCGACGGATTTTAGCTTGCTCGCCGATGGCCCAAGAAGAGGGCGTCAAGACAGCCCCAGAGAGCCCCAAGAAGGCTCACAGAGGATGCCAAGAAGAACCCAAGAGGGCCCCACAACGTCCCAAGAAGGGGTCAAGAGGAGGCCCAAATCCGCCCCAAGCGAGGCCCAAGAGGAACCCTGGGAGAGGCTTGAGGAGCAAAAACAAAGGGTTTCCTTTAGTTTTTGAAGGACTTTAGCTTGCTCGCCTTTCTTTGGTTTTCGACCGCTCAAGACGGCTTCAGGGGACTTCCCCATCGGCCCCAGCCGGCCCTCGGGAGGGCCCCAAGGCGGCTCAAGAAGACTACCGGACGGCCCGCAAGAGTGCCCCACGACGGCTCCCGCGAGCGAGAGAAAGACCCCATGGCGGGGCGGCCTCGGAGCCCTCGGGGAGACGAGGACGCTGCTCAGCACGAGGGTGGCGTGTTTAATGCTGTCTCTCCGCACCTCGGCCGGCGGGCCGTGCCGAGCTGCGCCGGCGGCCCCGGGATCGGGCGCCGAGGCCTCGGCAGCCCTGGCCGGGGCCCGCGTTCTGGCACGCCGCTTCCGCGCTCGGCCTCCTCGTGGGCGCAGCTTCCGCGGGCGCCTTCCTCGGGCCCTGCGGGGGCCGTCCGGAGAGAAGGCGTGGCGAAGAGGCCGCCCCCGCCCGGGAGGGGAATGCAGAGGTCCAGGGCCTGCGTGTTGGGCAACTTACCATTCGCAGGCATCTTGCGGCAAGGAGCGGTCGGGTCACCTCGCCCGTCTGCTTCCTCCCCCCGGGCCGGAAGGCCACTGCCCTTCTCCGCGAGGCTGCTGTCTTCGGGGTCTTCTCTCGCTTCGGGAGGGATGTCCCGCAGCGGGGCTGCGGCCGTGCGAGCGCCGTGCCGCTCCAGGCTTTTCTTTGGGGGGGGCCCTTCGACGCGCGCTCGCCTGGGCCTCCTCCAAGGCCAGGCATGACGGGCGAGCAGTGCCAGTGGGCGCTCCCGCTGCTCAGCGAGATGTGGAAAGCGAGCGTAGCGCCCAGCTTTCGAGCGTGCGCCCAGTGGCACTGCCTATTCCACCCGCAAGTGGACGCACTCCACGGCGTCCACGGGTCAGCTCTAGTCTACACTACAACGCAGGGACACGTGCGTGCGGGAAATGCGGGCGCTGGCGGAGCGTAACCGGCCCCCCTGGTCGCCCCACGACGGCCCGAGACGCACGAGATGGCCACAGAGCGCCCAAGACGGCACGAGAGGGCCTTCGACTGGGTCCCACAGCGCTCCAAGACGCCCAAGCCAGGCACCAGACGGCCCAAACGTCCTAGACGTTCCAAGTCGGCTCCAGGACGAGCCCCAAAACAGCCAGATCAATGAAAAATCGTTAAACTTTTCAACTTCCTAGGGGAAACGAGCCTTTTTCCAGGTCCACTGCTTTTCGCCCGCTGCGATGTCCACACGGCCCTACTGGCCCTCCAGATTACCCCACCACGCCTTTGGAAGCCCCCTGGACGGCCCCAAGACGGCTCCACGATGGCTCTTGATTCGCCGATGGCAGACCAAGAGGCTGCCATGACAGCACCGCGACGGTCCCAAAACGAGTCAAGACGGCTCCGAGACGGCTCCAAGACGGCCCTAGAGGTGCTAAAGACGGCTTCCCACTGCCCCGAGACGGCCCCAGAGGCGCCCAAGAGGGCCCCAGACGGCCCCAAGACAGCCCAAGAGGCACCCCAGACAGCCCTGGAGGCACCCAGGGAGGCGAAAAGAAGCGCCGAACGGCCTCGAATGGGTCCACAGCGCCTCTCCGAGCCACCATGGGTCCACAGGAGGCCCTGAGTGCCCCCGCCGCGCCCACCACGGCTTTACACATCCATGTCGGCGGTCGGATGCCCCATGAGGCCCCGGAAACTCCCAGGAGGGTCCGACGAAACGCCCAGGAAGGCCCCAAGACGGGCCAAGACGGCCCCAGCACAACCCAAGGCGCGCTGCGACGGCTCAAGACGGCTCCAAGACAGCCCCAAGAGGGTGCCAACGCGGCCCCTGCTGGGTCCAGGACGGCCCAAGGAGGCGCACAGGAGGGGCCCAAGACGACTCCAAGGCGGCCCCCTCACGGCCCCAGACGGCTCCAAGACAGCCCCAAGACAGTGCCAACAAGGACCCCGATGGGCCCAGGACGGCCTACGGACGCGCCCATGCGGGGCCCACGACGAACCAAAACGGCCCCATCACGGCAAACGGCGCCCTCAAGACGGGCCTAGACGGCTCCAAGACGGTCCTTTGAGGGAGCCAACACGGCCCCACGCCCTTCGGGCGAACACTTGGGGGGACTGGGAGCTTGCGACAAGTCTCCCACATTCATTGTCCTGCCCCATTCTGTCCGCCTGGAGGCCTCCTCCAACCCTGTGGGCGAACAAGAAGAAACCCAGCGGGCCGCCAACCCTGGGGCCCGTGGGCCCCGCGCCGCTTGGGCAGAAGACGAACGCCGGGTCTGACAGGCCAGCTACCGCCCCCTTTTGCCCGATATGCTATGCCACTCTGTTCCCCCAGGGGCCTTGGCAAACTCTTCGGACCAACCAGACCAGACCCCTGAGACAGCAGCCAATTGATATGACCCAGGCACCTCTCCGCACTCTTCAGACCACAGACCCTCTGGGCGAACAGAATGGGACTTGGCGAACAAACCCTCCCGTTGGCGGCGATGCGACTGGATCGCACCATCAAGGCGTGCCCAGAGGTGATGGCCGACCCAACAGCGGTTTCTGTTAATATTTCACTGACTTTCGAATTTTCTTTAAGCTCTCTTGGGCCCTCCCTGCAGATCCTTGCGAGCCTCCCCGACGCTTTCGGTGGTTTTCCCAGATGGCCTCCCGAGCCCTTCCCCAGGCGCTCCTGAGACGCCTCAGATGGGCTTCGACTTCGACTCACATCCCCGAGAGACTTCGAAACTGCCCTCAATAGGAGGGGAGTGAACGAGCAGCGCGCCGGGGCCAAGCTGCTGGAGCGCTGCAAGAGCTCGGACACGAAGGCGCGGTCTCGCTGCCGCCGCCCGAGCCGCCGCCGTGTTCGTAGATTTTCGGTGCAATCTGCGCCGTTCCTCCGAGAACCATTCCAGAAAGATGTCGTGGACGGAGTCAACGGGTCAGCCCTAGTCTCTACTACATTGCAGGGCCCAGTGCGTGCCAGAAGGGCGCAGGCCCCAATGCACCGAAACCGCCCCGGGCTGGCCCCGGGCCGCCCCAGGCCGCCCAGGCAGGCTCCAGGACATGTCGAGAGGGCCCCCAGAAGCCCCCAAGACGGCCCCGGAGAGCCCCGGCACGCTTAAAGATGGGCCCAAGACGCCCGAGATTCGCCCCAGACGGCCCAAGAGGCGTCCAAGACGCCCGAAGAGGCCTCCCAAGAGGCCTCCCAAGAGGGCCCCGAGCGACAGAAATCGTCGATTTCTGTTGTGTTTTTTCGATGTTTTCGGCCTCCTCGCCTCTTCGGCTTCCCGACGCTCCAAGACGGCCCAAGAAGTCCCCCCGACCGCTCCAAGACGGCCGAAGAGGACCCCAAGAGAGCCCCAAGACGGGCCAGGAGGGCCCCAAGACGGTCCCAAGACGCCCCAGGACGGCCCCAGGACGGCCCAGGAGGCGCCCAAGACGGCCCAAGAGGCACCCAAGACGGCCCCAGGAGCGGCCCAAGACGGCCCAAGACAGCCCAAGAGGCGCCGAGGCGGGCCTCAGACGGCCCCAAGACGGCCCAAGAGGCACCCAAGACGGCCCGAGAGGGCCCTAAGAGCCCCCCCGGGAGGCCCAAAAGAAGGCCGAAGAGGCTCCGAAACGGCCCCCACGAAGCCTTCAGTGGCTTCAGAATTCCCTCCAGGAGCGGGGGAGCGGACGAGAGGCGACAGGCATATCGCAGGCAAAAACGCCCCAAGAGATCCCCAAACGGCCCCCACGAAGCCCTAAGTGGCCTCAGAATTGCTTCCAGGAGGGGGGGAGCGGACGAGAGGCGACCGGCATATCGAAGGCACAAAAGAACAATGTTGGACGCTCCGAGGGCCTTCGATGTTTCTCTGTTGGGGAGAGTCGTCGTAGGATCGACGATTGCCGACCGAGGGCATGGAGAATCGAGCGAAAGAGGAGGAGAAGGTGGAAGAGGAGAAGGAGAAGGAGGAGGAGGAGGAGGAGGAGGAGGAGGAGGAGCCTGGCGCTGCACTGCGAGATGTGGAAAGCCAAGCTGGAGCCCGACGCCATCATGATTGCCTTTCGGCCCTGCAGCCGCACCCCCCCGCGCTTGCCCAGAGATCCCTCGCCACGTCGAGCTGATGTCGTGGACGGAGTCCACAGGTCTGCCCTAGTCAGCTACAGCGCTGGGATCAGCGCGTGCGAGAAGGGCGAGCAGTGGCAGCGGGCTCTGGCGCTGCTGAGCGAGATGCGGGAGGCGAAGCTGGAGCCCAACGTCATCAGCTACAACGCTGGGATCAGCGCGTGCGAGAAAAGCAGGCAATGGCAGCGGGCTCTGTCGCTGCTGAGCGAGATGTGGGAAGCGAAGCTGGTTCCCAATTTCACCAGCTGCAGCGCTGGGATTCGGGCTTGCGATAGAAGCGGGCAATGGCAACAGGCGATTTGGTTGCTCAAGGAGACGTGGGGCGCAAATCTTGAGTCCAATGTCGGTAGCTTCATTGACGCCATAAGTATTGCGATGCGCGGGTAAAGGCATAACAAACTCAATTTCAATCGTGGGGTCAACGAGTGCGGGAAAAGCAAGTAGCCGCAACGTATTGTAGGGAAATTGGCGAAATCGAAGATGTGGCCCTAGTCATCAACGACAACGCTAGCACGAGCGCGAGCGAGAATGGTCGAAACTGGCAACGGGCTCTGTTGCTGATCAGCGATGTAGGCATGCGAGGTTGGAACCAACATCATCAGCTACAATTCTGGAACCGGAACGCGCGAGAAGGCTGAGCGAGTTCACCACATCCAGGTCGTCCTCGGGAAGGTGCGTTCGAGAAATCTCGACCTGGACCTCACCAGTGGCTATGGACTTGTGACCAGGCAGTGGAAGCAGGCGTCCTGAGCGAGATGTGGGGGATGAAGTCCGCTACAGCGCCGTCAGCGCGTGCGAGAAGGGCGGGCAATGGCAACATGGGCGCAGCCTGCTCGGAGCCATGCGTGTGAGAGCATTGGACGCTTGCTTCAGTGTCTACTTGATAACAGCCTGTCGGCCGCAGCTTCAAGACGATTGCAGACACCTTGCGGAGACAGAAAAACAGCCAGCATGGGAGAGCAATGCGAGTAATGGAGACACGTGCTATCATTGTTCGTGGAAGCGTGTGTGTGTGTGTCTTACTTACGGTGCAATGATGCAACACATGCCACACTGCTCGCCCAAGCGCGTTCGAGAAAGCTACGCTTTCCCAGCTACGCTCGGACCAGCGCGTGCGAGGTGGGCGAGCAATGGCAGCGGGTCTGGGCGCTGCTGAGCGAGGTGTGGGAGACGAAGCTGGAACCCGAACGTCATCTCTTCTGCAATGCCCTGAGCGCCACGTGCAGGAACGGTGCAACTGATCAGGTGGACCTGACTCTGCCCGGTAGGACCTGGCGCGCTCCCCGGCGCCCCTGGGGATTTTCAGGACGGCGCCAGGGGGTCCCAAAGGAACTCCAACACGTTCCAAGAGAGGGCGCCAGACCGCGGAGGACAGAAAAGGAGGGGGAGGAGGAAGGAGGGAGGGAGGGGGGGAGGGAGGGGGAGGGGCGGAGGGGGAGGAGGAAGGAGGGGGAGTGAGCGGGAGGAGGGAGGGAGGGAGAGGGAGGGGATGATGATGATGATGATGATGATGATGATGATGATGATGATGATGATGATGATGATGATGATGATGATGAGAGGAGGAGGAGGAGGAGGAGGAGGAGGAGGAGGAGGAGGAGGAGGAGGAGGAGGGAGGAGGAGGAGGAGGGGAAGGAGGTCAGACATACCAGGAGGATGAGGAGAACGGGGAGTTGAAGGAGGGACAGCAGCAACGCAGGCGCGCGTCCCAACCGTAAGCATTTGGTTTCGAGAGCCGCCTCGAGAGGCGTGCGTCGCAGACCTGACGTATTCGCTTTGGAGACGGAGGGAGCAGGAGGGAGCAGTCATTGCACAGTCCACGCTGGACTTCCGAGGGCAGAGCAGCGGTTAGCAGCTGGGGGGATGCATGACTGTCAACCGACGGTGTGGCCGCCGCCGCTGCTGCGCTGCCGCCGCTCCTCTTCGATCCCGCTCCACCTCGCCATGATCCTTGTGGGGTTTAGACCACGCTCCCGAGACCAGAGAAAGAAATAAATAAGCTCAGAAGCAGAGTAAAAGGATGGAGGAAGAAGAGGAGGAGGAGAAGGAGGGAGGAGGGAGGAGGGATGATGTTGATGATGCTGCTGATGGTAATGATGAGGATGAGGATGATGATGATGATGATGATGATGATGATGATGATGATGATGATGATGATGATGATGATGATGATTATGCGGATTGGGATGATGATGCTGATGCTGATGCTGATGATGATGCTGATGCTGATGCTGATGCTGATGATGATGCTGTTGATGATGATGATGACGATGATGATGCTGATGATGATGATGATCATAACGATGGTGCTGCTGCTGATGATGCCGATGATGCAGATGCTGATGCTGATGCTGCTGATGATGATGCTGATGATGATTCTGATGATGGTGATGATGAGGATGCTGATGACGATGGTGATGCTGCTGCTGATGATGATGCTGATGCTGATTGTGATGATGATGATGATTGTGATGATGATGATGATGATGATGATGCTGATGCTGATGCTGATGTTGATGCTGATGCTGCTGATGCTGATGATGATGATGATGATGATGATGATGATTATTATGCGGATTGGGATGATGATGCTGATGCTGATGCTGATGATGATGCTGATGCTGATGCTGATGATGATGATGATGATGATGATGATGATGATGATGATGATGATGATGATGATGATGATGATGATGATGATGATGGTGATGACGCTATGATGCTGCTGCTGATGATGAGTAGAAGGATGAGAAGGATGAGGAGGAGGCTGAGGATGAGGATTGGGATGAGGATGAGGATTGTGATGAGGATGCGGCTGAGGATGAGGCTGAGGATGATGATGGTGATGAAGATGATGATGATTCCGATCATGTGAGCACAGCGGTTATGATAGTAGAAGAAAGTGAACTGCAGCTTTCTCGGACCGAGCCCGCCTCGCGCTGCGCGCCGGGCGTGCCCGCAGTTGATGCGCGGAGGCCCCGCGGCCAGAGAGCGGGCGGTCCACAAGCATGCCCCTGGATTCGAGGCCTACTCAGGGGCCACTCCCAGCGGCGAGGAGGCAGAACCAGAGGCGGCGGAGGACCCAGAGCGGGCGCCCTCGGTCGTCATCCCGGACAGCACCCATCCCGGGCCGCCCAGAGGGGCGGCAGGTGCCGAACCTGTGGTTCGTGCCACCCCGGCCGCGCGATCTGGGCCGCCCCGGGTTCGAGCGAGGACCTTGTCGGGGTGCACAGAGGAGGCGCGATCGCGTGGCAGGCGAGCGTTTCCAGACACGGAGACGGCAGGTGCACTAGCGGGCGAGATCGCCTGCGTCGGTTCTTGTCGTCCGGCGATGACAAGTTCCTCGGCGAGCAGCGGGACTATTCATACACGGTCAAGGTCTTCGACTGGGCCAGGACATCATGACGACGCTGCCATCGGGGGCGCTGCAGCAGACCGAGGACGTCCTGCCCCGCTCGTGGCTGCTCGAGCCGCCTAGAGCGGGCCCGCGCCGTCGGCACGGCAGGGAGGTGCGAGGCCCGGGTAGTCGTCGCCAAATTCGCGCGACTCGATGGCCCCGTCACCGTCGACACCCTGGCGTAGGACGACCTCAGCGGCCTCGACCTGGAGGAGCTCCTCATCGTGGCGCCTGCCGTCTGCCTCCCTTACGACGCCAGCTCGCTCGCCTCCATAGACTATGTCTCCGTGACGCTGATGTCGACCCTGGGCGAGGAGATGCCAGCAGACGTGGCCTGCATGAATGTCTCGCTGGGGTTCCTGGCGCGACTCACCGGAAGTTGCGCGGAGGACGATGTGATCCGGATATTCGACGAGTTGATTTGGCAAACGAACGTCGAATCTCATTATGATGATTATGAGGATTCGTAGTACGATGGATGGAATGATGATACTTACGAGGATAATGTGATCGATGGTGAAAGTGATAACGTTGGCGAGGATGACGATATTGTCGCTGCTGCAGGTTTTGGTGATGTTGCTGGTGCTGATGATGGTGATGCTGATGATGCAGAACACGGAACTGATGATGATGGTGCTGATGATGGTGATGATGACGACGATTACGATGGTGATGATCGTTCTGCTGCTGCTGGTGATGATGATGGTGTTGGTGAAGATGATGATGATGATGAGGAGGAGGAGGAGGAAAAGCGGGAGGGGAAGGAGGAGGTGAGAGTGTGAGGAGAGGAGGATGAGGAGGAAACAAAAAAGAAAACGAGGAGGACGAGGAGGGTGTGGAGGTGCTTTTCCTTTTGGCATCCCCGCCGGCCGATTCGAGCGGGCTTGCCGAGGTCGCCGTTCCGTCGCACGGCGCCCATCACGCCGACCAGGCTGCTTCGCCAGAGGCCGTCCGGCACGTGGCGGTGTCCTCCGACGCTACGGTGCCTTCGCCCCTTTCTTACTGTTCAGGTGAATGGGGCTCTTCACATTCATTTTTCGATTGAGCACGCTTTCCGAATTCCAATTCCAGTCGAGCGCGCCTTGCCTGCCCGCAGTCCTTTGTCTCCGTGGCCGTCCGTCGCGGCCCCCCGCTTCCCTGGCGCTGATGTTCTGCTTCGCAGCGTTCCGCGCTGGGCGGTCGTCGGCGCCGCGACACAACAAGTTCCGAGTTCGGGGCCCTCGCGGTTGCAGGCATATCCTCCCTGCCTGTATGCGAACGAACTGTTCTGCCGAAGAACTCTTCCGACTGCTTCAGTCGATGCGTCTGAAGCAAGGGCCGCCCTGGACTCGGGAAGAATTCGGGTTCCCGGGCCGCTCCTCAGCTCTCGGCCTGGAAGCCCGCGCGTGGCCGGGGCCCTCCGTGGCCACGAGGTCCTCTTTCGTTCTTTCGTTCCGCGTTCCGTGCGGTGGCGCGCCGCCGTCCCCGTGCTGCTCAGATTTCAGCGGTGCTGCGCGGCAGCACTCTTTCACTGAGCAGTGCTGCTACGTTGCCACAATTCCTGCGCCGTTCACCACTACTGCGTTGACTACAGTACTAGATTGGAGCACTGCTGCATCACTGCCTGCTTACTGCACTACATGCTCGGACTGCTGTTGGTCGTACAACGACGATTGTTACCAGTAAGACTATCGTTGTTGTCACTGCTGCCTGTGGTAATACTGTCACTGCGACTACCTCTTGTATGTTCTGGCAGTTTTCCTGTTGATGCAGCGATCGTTTACCGCTTCTACTGCTTATGGTGGCAGCAACAGACTCGCGGGATGTTAAGTGTCCAGTTGTCTTTGTGCTTCCCTTCTTGCTCCCCCCTTTTCTGCGTGCTCCCAGTCACACATCGCAGGTGCAGCCCTTCGGGTCGCAGCCTCCGGCGCAGATGCGGGTGACTTAGTCGGGCTCCGTTTGGCGAGGTGGATTAAATTTGCGACTGGCCCGCCAGAAGGTGTTTTACGAT